GTAGTCATTACTTATTGGACTGCTAAACTGTTAAATTATACGTTTATCGTTTCACCTGCTCTTGAAGTCTATGGCTGAGTTGCACCACCTTATTTTAACCCTAGAGTGCTCGCGCTATGAGCATTTTGCCGCCCTCTGCAATAAAATCGAGTTATTTTCTACACGATGCGTTTGTTAAAGTCAAGCATTTCAGTAGCTGCCTCCCCATACTTCACCTCTATGTATTAGAAATTAGAAGAAATTTAGTGCACAGGTGACCGCAATAGAGAACGATTGTTGAACGTATGTCACGTNGCATGTACTCATATCAATTTGTCTCCGCTAGCGGATACGGCCGGGTTGCGACACCGCATGTTAAAGGATTAGTTAACGGCACTAAACGGAGGTTAGGACATGACCTGAGAAGGAAGCCGGTTGTATAACTCGATGGCTGTCAAACCTCTCGTTAACTGGTTCAGATAAATCGTAACGGCTTCATTAGATCTGTACGACATGGTGTAGAAAGCGATACAATGTAAACAAGTAGAGTGGTTACATGCACAATGTAAACAAATAGGTCTAACTTAGGACTTTTTGTTGAAGGCTTTGATTAATTGTGTTTAATCAATAGTAAATGAAGTTAGTGCGGACGACGTGACATCAAATCAATGACTGTGGCATATTTACATACCTATTAGTTGTAAAGAGTGTTATTTTGCAATAAGTAAGTTTGACACAGTTAAAATTATAAAATATTGGCAAAAATTATTCACGATGTCTTGGCTTATTGTATTGATTGAGGAAATATGTAAGCATAGATGAAAAATGTATTCAATAAATGATTATAACGATGTATAAGTGTATAATTAAGCGTAATACAAATTAAAATGCAAAGCTTGCCGGAAACTATAGGCAATAGTGTTGTAACAAGTTGCACCCGCACTAGTTGCATTGGGCGTTGCGCGTGCGACTATGCGGCCCGCGAAACTAGTTTTATTGAGCGTAACTACGTTTTAATGCCATCTATCGTGTATCATTTACAAAGTTATTAGAAAAATAATTATTTTATTAATTAAATTCCTTTCTTTACGTTAAATAAAAGACCAAAAATATCGACCCGGTAAATACATCATCATCATCATCATTTCAGCCATAGGATGTCCACTGCTGAACATAGGACTCTCCCAATGCTTTCCATGTTGATAGATTGGTAGCGGTAAAATACATCGAATAAATATAATTTATTTGTAACTTTTGTAAAAAGTTTCTTACTCAACTACTTAGCCCTTCTTCTTAACTAGTACTACCACAGAATAAATTCTGTGCCCTTACTAGTAAAGTTTTACTGGTAAGGCAATTTTTAATATTTCTCCATAGTTCCTGTAACTTAAGTCCTTTGAATGTAACTTTGTATTTAAACAGTGCTTTATAAAAGTGAAAACTGTCTCATGAGCAAATTGATTATCCATGGTGTGCTACAATGGCTAAACCATATAGATTCCCAAAGAAATTGTTGCAATTAAGAAACGATGGCTCTTATAAGATAGCACAAAACACGATCTGTCGTGTAATTTAGATAAAGAATTTAAACTAGATAATACGTATTAACAATGGCATCATAAGCTGCTTTAGAAATTGTAGAGGCATGCTTGTAGATTGGAATTTGATAGGGCTTTAATCGTGTAAGTAATCTTAAATATTGCTTATAACTGCTGAAGTTGTGTGGTAATGAATTAACTCTTTCGCTGTCCATTGGAACACAATAGACTAGTATTATTTTATTATCTGTGACAAAATAGTAAAGTAGCAAAAATGGCGGGAACTATATTATGTTGTAGTCATTACTTATTGGACTGATAAACTTTTAGATCGGCAGCACCATCTTAACTTTAACGGTAACTATAAATATAACACCGGTGCTTTTGTATGGAGTTGGACAGACTTTTGACGTTTGTTCAAGTTAAAGTAAGATGGTGTAACCCGTGCTAAAATTAAAATAATAAAAGTAAATTAAAAAGTGATAAAGTTTGCTACGTGCTACAACTTTATTTTCACAAGTCTCTCTTTATCTAACAAATAAAGTCATCGAACCGACAACCTTACCCCTCAAACATATTTAGTCATTGTAGCATTTATATTAATTCCTTTGTGTTTGTAAACACTTAGTTCAAGAATGTTTTCATAATGCTTCAAACAAACAAATTATCCTGTTCGTGGTTGTAATTTAATAAGTTTTTTTGTTCATAATTATGCAAATACTTACACACGCTTGTTTAACGACAACAATGTACTTAGCGTAGGTTTCGAAACTATACAACCCATTTCTATGATAACAAGTTCATTATCAACAATAACAATGAGTATAATTATAACCAAATTACGTTACAGTTTGCAAGTAGGTAATTAAGTAATCAAAAATCTCAAACTTGTGGGACCCGCTTTTGAAAATCTATCCAGTTTTGTCACGAGTTTTGAAATCTCGTTATGTTTACAACGTAACATCGTGGTCATTAAGTTTTATATGCGGGTGTACAATAAAAGATTACTATGTAGATATAATATTTAATATTAGACCTTAAAACAAAAGAAATAAGGAAAATTAACGTTTGGTTTTTTTGTATAATAGTGCGTAGACGCCAATGGACGCAAAATAGTTAAGGCAAATAAAGTTACGCAATGCTGGCCAGATACAATCAATGTTAAACAGATCTCGTTCTATTGTTTAAAAAAATGTAAATGTCAATGCTACAGATTTCTTTTGATGTCTTTATACGTAATGGGATATGGCCAGTTCTAATGTAGGTTTTTTTTTAATATTTTAAAGAATTACTTAGTATACTTCCAGAGCTAAGCAGACCTTAAACTGTTGCGTTTCACAAGCAATGCCATTCTTTATTTTAGATTAATTAAATCTGTTAATAAGTATCAATCAAAATTACGAAACCTCACGTATGATTGATGTTGCTACAAATTACACGATTCTCGTCCATTCTCGAGTTGACAATGATAATTGTTTCATTACCTCCTATTAATTGCGACAGCCGCTGTGTAATTGTGAGATGATTGTTCCATGATGATTTGTTCAGACGGCACATAAAGCTTTACACTGTGACCTCTTTATGCCTCTTATGTGCTTGTAATAGGGTCGATTTTGCAACAAAAATGCATAGCATGATGTGCTGTCTGTACGTGTACTTGATTTGAAGAAAGGATTTGTCGTGAGGCATAATAGTTTTTTTCTTAGATGATGTATTGCGAAGATATAAACGTAATGTTATTCGTTTTCAGTAATTGTAACACGGTTATAAATTATTCATGATTCAACTAAGAAAAATAACTGATTCATTAACATTGATTTTAACAATAATAAACACCGCCTTTAATTCTGGTGTAAAACACAATTTATTTTTTGTTTTGACTGATTACATTTAATATGGACTTGTAAATTGGTTTAATTGAAGCTTACAAATGTTTTATTTACTGTTAAAATCTAACGAACTACTCAATAAATCTCTCAAAAAGTATAGTACTGAAAATTAACCTTGCTGAATAATAATTTTATTGGAAAACCGTTTATCTATTTTATCACAAATATGCACCAATTGAGTAGAGCCATTAAGCAAATAAGATCAGAGACTTTTAGCCCATGAGATAATATGGGATCCGTGATAGGTTACTGCTAACATGTTTCGTTTGATAAAATCTGGTTTAGAAGCTGCTTACATTAATTGACTAGAATGGAGAATTTCAATGCAACCAATAACTTTTCTTGGTAGATAGTTGTCGTATTTCTGATGTATTTTTTAATCGGTTTTAAATAAAATGTTTAAACTGAATATCGAAATCCCATCGACTCATTTAGTTAAAAGATTTGCCTGGACTTCTTAGTTGCAACATCTTTATTATAATCAACCAAACAATGTATTCAAGCAAATAATGATTGATTTGATTTAATAATCAAACAGTGTTCAAGTATGGCACACTTTGCAAATCTTCCGCACACATGATTATATCGAACACAGTCATAATACAAACGTCAAGATGGCCTCCAGATAACACATAATTATACCACATGCATAGCAGAGATAAGAACAACCATTCCCTGCAATCTTAAATTATTCTCCCCGTAAAGTTTCAGGTTGAAAATACTGGAAAATTAAGTCATCATTTAATTTTTGCAGAAGCTGTGGAAAATTCGACCCTTCTTGGAAACACTTTCAGATTAGATATTTCTAAGTTGTTGTTGATTGAAAATGAAATGATATTAAGATTCTTTTACGATTTAAAATTCCCTATTTGCATTGAGCTCCTACCATAACTTGCGTAAAATCGATAAAATTGTAACAATTCTTAAAAAATTGTTTGTTGACTCCGAATCTGACCCTTTACTATGTTATTCGACTGTTCTCTTTGGGCTATGGCCTGGCTTCAGGCGTTCTTCGTAAACCACCATAATCTATGATAGTCTTTGTATGCGTAATGTACGATCTAACCTTTATGTGTGTCAAAGAAACCCATAGGTATACTCGTATCATAGTCATCATTATAGATAAACTTGATGTAAATAACGCTATAGACAATAACTATGTGATAAAACGTGGCTCTAAGATAAAACGTTACTACTAATTTTATTAGAATTTGTTTACATCTATGACCTTTGGCACGATCATGTGATCATAACAATTTTATTACGATAGCATATCTAAACAAACTCATTACAAGATGAAACTGTTCAATAAGCTGTAAGCATTATCCGTTGTTTGTATTCTATCTTTGTTGTTGGCGATATAGGTACTACTAATTTTCCTTATTATCAATTGGTCTAACTCGTCTTACAATTTCATCCAAGGGGTGCAAAAGTGAGATTTTTCGGAAGACCTTTTCACTAAAGACGTAGTTATGCGTTCGGGAAAATAAAAACAATATGCTAGCTTTTATTTTGTGAGAGGGATAGAGTTTAATCATCATTTTGCTGTGTTAATTGTTTTACAAAAAATAAAACCTTATTTCTTTTGTTTCAGATAAATAACCGGCTGCCCCTGCAAAAGCACAGACAAGACTGCAACCATTAACACCTTTTTCTGTCAACCTCTTCGCTGATAACACATGTCACTGTCATTATCCAGCTGACAGTTCAGCGGACCGCACGCAGGCTTACATTTCTCAAATTCTATTTTGTGAAATCTAACAGTGTATGAACGAAATGAGGATAGGATCTCTGAAAAGATAGCATTCGTTTTTTCATCGTCAATAGTGTTGTAGTGATGGCGTCGTGGAAATCATGTGGACTGTGGACAGTGCTAGTGTTGTGCCTTTTCGGGAAGATTTCTGGACTGGACAATGGGCTGGCGCTCACCCCTCCCATGGGGTGGCTCGCGTGGGAAAGGTTTAGGTGTAATACGGACTGTAAGAATGACCCTGACAACTGCATAAGGTGAGTGATAACATACACAAGCTTATTTTAATTTAAAACTTCTTTAGAAACAAACTTATTTTGCGCCATACGTTGCCTAATACCTAAGTATTTTGGTTGGTTTAATTTCGTGAAGCGTTCACACGTTGACTATTATACCAGTCCTGTCTGATCAGAGTTAACGTGAACAAGTCGGCCATAAGGCAATACTTATTGGTACATATCTCGTTCTTATGCATTTCATTCTAAAAATAAGGGTTCCTTATCAGGACTACGGAGCCCTAAAAAATGGTTGTTAAGATCATTATCGGTTCGATTCCCAATTCGAAGAAGAGCTAAAATTAGAACACATAAATTAGAACTGTCCAAACCGTCTAGCCATGGTGGGAGTTAGGTCTAATCCTCCATCGGCTTTGGGTAAATTAGTGAGAGTCGTGCTCCAACAGACTGAATTACCTGGTGATGATGATGAAGATGAGTGGTAGAGTTTTTGTTAGATGTCAAAATTTTACAGGTGACTTTGCAAACAGTGTCAAAAGTTTTGGGAGCGACTCAGAATCAGTTACTTAATCGATTTACGTAAAGAAAACAAAAATATATTTTTCATATTTATGCTTATTAAAAAACTAGCGGCCACCCGCGAATTCGTACGCGTGGATCCTGTTTTACCCCCTTAGGGGTGGAGTTTCGTAAAATCCTGTCTTAGCGGATGCCTACGTCATAACATCTACCTGCATGTCTCAGCCCGATCCGTCCAGTGGTTTGGGCTGTGCGTTGATAGATCACTATGTCAGTCAGTCAGTCAGTCACCTTTGAGTTATTAGTTTTTGAATAGGTACTGTTTGTAAAGTCACCCTGTATAGAGAGTAGAGACGGATAAAATTGCTCTTTAAAACTACTGAAAATAAATGTATGGTCTTTCTACAATGGAGACTAAATGACCAAAGGTGGAATTGTGTAAAGCAATCGTAATCATTTGACAGTTCATAACGTACGATAAAGTCAGATAAACAAAGCGTTTTACACAATTCCACCTCTGATGATGATCAATCCCCCTTCCAGCGACCGGCTGTTCCGCACGATGACGGACATCCTGGTGACGGAGGGCTACGCGGCCGCCGGCTACGAGTACATCAACGTCGACGACTGCTGGCCGGAGCGCGAGCGCGACCCGCGCGGGAAGCTCGTCCCGGATAGAGAGAGGTTCCCGTACGGGATGAAGAGCTTGGCTGATTATGTGAGTCTTTTAATTCTATTCTTCTCTTTCGTGCTAAAATTCTAAAAATATGGTACAATTAGCCATCTAGTTCCCTAAAGAAAAGCTTTTAGTCCGGCAATTCCAAATCACGTAGGCGAAAGAAACGCGTAAACCGATGCGATAGCGCCGCGCTCTCTCTGAATTTCAAAATGCCCAAATTTAAAAAAAAGTCCGGTAAATATATTAATAAAAAAAGTTGGACACATTTTTATTTGTCAATCAAACAAGTAATAAATTACGATGCGTTGAAGTTCCGCGTGACGTCACAAAGAGCTACACTAAGCACCTTGACGTCACGATCCTCTTCTATTGAACTTTGGCACTCTCTTACTTTTTACCCAGGAAACACTTGGTAAATAAGGACTGAAATCACCAAAAAATATTAAGGATATTTAGGGGAAACACTGGTGTCATGTCGTGAGAGTTCTGAACGTGACGTACGAGTAGGTATAATAATTTTATTATTGTAGTTTCATCTCTCTCACCTCAAATGCAGCGAGATTGCATGTGCAATAAATTCTATTATTATTCTTGACAAGAAAAAGTTCTCGACACAGATAATTTGAAGTCTTAATCATAATAATTTTATGCAAATGTTTTATGAATTTATTTAAAGGCATTTATGGTTTATGTCAGGCCAGAACCAGGCCTATTTTGTATACAATGGAATACGAATGTGGCATATACTCATATAATTTATCAAAAACTGGTGTATAATTTGTTCCGTTAGAATGTCGACATGTGCATATTTTATTTAATTTTTTTTTAGAATTCTAGCAGCAGTTGTGGCTTATAAAACATCTGCGTAGGTTTAATAAATTAATTACTATTATGTTTTATTATCATCAATAAATATCGAAAAATGTAAATAATGTCAGCATCCACAAACTCATTATTCAGGAAAATACTGAAATGTTACACACTCGACTAATAAATAAACATCTTATCAAACAGGCGGTATATTATGTGCATTATCATATAATAGTTTATTTACTTATGTTATGACATTTAATAACAGCTGTGGCCACATCGAGGAAGCGAATCGATGTTAAGTTACTTGCATTTTGTTTAATGAAGTGTAAACAAACAAGACTTGTTTGCTTTCGTAATTTCGATAAAATTGGGAGCTGTTACCAGTATTGTGGCTTAACTGATACTGTTAGGGATATATTAAGTCCGCTACAGAGCAATAAACACAGTGGTTGGTAGTAACATAATAAATATATTGGTATCAAAGCACACGTAGAATATTTACAATAGAGAGTTCGGCACAGCCATTACACAGCTAAAGACAACATCACATTTGAATATNCCATTTCTTAATGATGACGTAATGATTCAGTAAAAACGTTCATTGAACTTACATTTATACGTTAATAAAACTTGTTCTTATGAATGCGAAATACCTAGGACTCGTATGAAATGTGGACTTTCCCGTTTTGGGCCGATATGTTCATCGATCGATGATTTACGGTAAGCAGCCGAGTAACATAATAAATACAGGGTGTTAGGTAAACGGGTATATGAGCCAACACTAGCCCATGTTAACATGGGCATAATAAATGGTATGGTGAAGTCAGAGATATCATCATTTTAATTTTTTAAATTTTCATACAAAATAAAAAAAATCCTAACACCCTGTATAGAAGGTATTTCATAAAAGGTGTCCAAGCTGGTGTTGTATTTATAATAATCAATCCCTCATTTACTTTATGAATTGCTTAGGTACGTCAAAGTAAACAACATTGAAAATAAGTTATTTTAAATTATCCAATCATAATTACTAATAATACAGTTGTTAAGAACTACACGTTCCTGTTTATTAACATACCGTATGATGAAGTAATAAAATAATAAGCAAATGCTTGTTGACAGAAATGTTGATAGATCAGATAGCCAATAACTTTAAAATTACAAATATGATGTTCTTATCTATGCAGTCTTGACATGATTTTCTACAACTTTCTTAATAAATTATAATAAAAATAAACTTTTTTAAAAACAAGCTTTTATTCTGTATTTCGAAAGTTTGTATCGCGCATGGAATTTATTCCTCTTTTTCTCTGTTTGCGCTACAAGCTTTCGAAATTCAGAATAAAAGCTTGTTTTTAAAAAAGTTTATTTTTATTATAATTTTATTTTACACTTTTTAGTTATATCTTAATCTCAGGACCCTGGACGTTATCTAACACTAAAGTGCTCGAAAAGACAAATCCAACGAACCCAAACTCGATGAGTTTCCGCCGTTTTGTTTAGGAGTTCCTATGGCCACCTCCCGACTCCATCATCAGACCAGCTCAATGGTACCATAATATTGCATTGTCATCGGACTTACACATGTATGCAAAATTTCAGCTCAATAGGAAACCGGGAAGTGGGTCAATTTTAAGTTGCAAGATTTGACGACAGACACCAGACATGTGAAAGTAATAAAAAGCTTGTAATAATCTTTTGTAGGAATTATTTCCGATTTAATCAATTTTTGTGTTTAATTCTACTGGCCTATTTGAGGAAGTCGTTAAAGATAATATGCGAAATAGTAATGATGAGGAGAACGTGGAGAAGAATACTGTGGCAAATGAGATGGATTTTTATTTGAAATCAAATCGACTAGATCGAGAAGCTTACAAGTGGTGGTCAGCTAATGAAAAACAATACCCAAACCTCTCGAAATTTGCTAAGTTTATCTTTCTTCTCCCGGGAGTAGCGTGTATAGTGAGAGGTTGTTTTCTGAAACTGGTATCATTTATGATGAAAATCGTAATCGTTTGCTACCTTCAAATGCTGAAAAGCTTGTTTTTATCCATCACAACTTACAGCTGATTAATTTTACTTATTAAAGTATTGTAATTTGATAATAAAGACAAATCTCGATTAATATGATGTGTCCTTTTTTTCCATGACTTGGTATTCGGTATTCGGCCGAATAGTACCTATTATTCGGCCGAATACCGAATACCAAAAAAAGTGGCCGAATAGGCCGAATACCGAATAGTAGCCGAATATTCGTGGCATGTCTAAAGATTATACAACTTAACTTCCACAAGTCTCATTTTATCTAACAAATAAAGTCATCGTACCGAAAATTACCCCTCAAATACATTAAGTCATTGTAGTATTTATATTTAATACCTTTGTGTTTGTAAACACCTATGTAAATTCAAGAATGTTTTCATAATGCATCATCGCAGAATATTTGGTTGACAAATTATCCTGTTCGAGCTGTAATTTAATAAGTTTTTTGTTCTTATACAAATATTTATCTAACCATAACAATAAATAGCGTAGGTTCCGAAACTTATACATGCCATTTCTATTATAATAACAAGTTCATTATCAACAATAACAATGAGTATAATTATATCCAAATGACGTTACAGTTACTTAATTACTTGTTGCAAAGTAATTAAGTAATCAAAAATCCCACATAAATGTCAGAATTTGTGGGACCCGCTTTTGAAGATCTATCCAGTTTTGTCACGAGTTTTGAAATCTCGTTATGTTTACAACGTAACATCATGGTGATTAAGTTTTATATGCGGGTGTACAATAAAAGATTACTTAGATATAATATTTAATACTAGACCTTAAAACAAAAGAAATAAGAAAAATTAACTGTTGGTTTCTTTGTATAATTGTGCGTAGACGCCTATGGACGCAAAATAGTTAAGGCAAATAAAGTTACGCAAAGCTGGCCAGATACAATCAATGTGAAACAGATCTCGTTCTATTGTTTAAAAAAATGTAAATGTCAATGCTACAGATTTCTTTTTTATGTCTCGTATAAAATGGCCAGTTCTAATGGAAATGAAGTTAGAAAAGGTTTTATTATTTTTTTAAATATTTTAAAGAATTACATACCTAAGTAGCATACCTACTTCCAGAGCTAAGCAAAGGTTAAACTGTAGCGTTTAGTTAGATAAAATTAAATAGAGTTATCTGATTTTACACAGATGGGCTAAACGTAACGTAATGAATAATGTGATTGTGAATTAATTCTTGAAAACCGATTTATAGCCTGACCAGGAACATAAAAACTAGAGATGAAACGGATAGTTGTTTGGCCGGATACCGGATACCGGATATCCGGCCAGCTGCTAGGCCGGATAGCCGGATATCCGGCGGCCGGATAGTTGGCCCATTGTCTCGTTGCATGTCGTGACGAGTTTAGCGCCGCACAGGTGTTTCGAACGCGATCAGTGGGTCTATTGTATTAGAAGACTAGACTAGTCACACTTATCAAAAATCGAATCAGTCCGAATAGAATATCAGATTTTGCCACTTATCTAGGGGGCAGATCAATTCAGGTGATTTCGGTTACCATCGTGAGTGTAATTGAATAGCGAAAATTAAATTAGTTTACTTGCTGCATAATCTGACTGAACTGCATCATGACATCAGACCATCAGTGAAAAAATGATCGCCTATTTTATTTGGCAATATTTCGACTTAACAGATATTTACTATTTATCGGTGATCAGCCGTCAGTTCGAGCCTGTGGCAGGCCTTTTTGGAGTTAAATTCTATTGCTTATATCTTAGACGAACTGTCCATTTGTAACAGCTATCCTACTAACATTTCTGAGCTCTTGCTGGACGTCGATACCAGTCAAATGACGATTTCAAAGAGAGGTTGACATGAAAAAATGGTCATCCCTCTGCGATGTGCACGGGCGCTGTTCAGAACTTGGTCTCGGGATAAAGCCACCAGTCTCCCGAAAGCGTCTTAAAACTTTCGAAACCCAGGACTGGCTTATGTGGAGCTGACGTGCGACAGCCCGCTGGCTGAGCCCTTCTTGCAATAGTGCAACGATTTGTGCTGCTTTGAAACAAACCACAGCTAATTTTCATAGTGGACTGTACTATACGATAAACATGTCAGTCAATTTGACAACCTTTGTCGGAAACATTATTCAATGAAAATATTGTCCGAACCCTTAGTATTTCTCTTCGACAAATACTTTAACACATTGTGAACCA